ATTGCGGTAAAACACAAAATAGTATAATGTCTTAACCATTTTCGAGGGTACAGCTCGGTGGTGTGAAGTACATCGCAGGGGTTTGCCGGCCATGTCTCCAGAACTGTTTCCTTCTGGCAAAACTCAAACTCTGTCCCGTTAAACACTGATTTCCCATCCCTCCCGCCCCTGCCGCCGGCAGCCACCGCATCTATTTCCTGTCTCATGGGAATCTGACTGCTCTAGGGGCCTTGCCCAAGAGGGATCTCACAGCATCTGTCTTTTTGGAACAGGCTCGTTTCACGCAGCATCATGTCCTCGAGGTGCACCCTGCTGGAGCAGGTGTCCGAGTTGCCTTTCCTTTCAAAGGCTGAGTAACACCCCACCGTCTGGGCGGGCCACGCTCGGGTTCCCACTCCTCCGCCGACGGGCACCGGGTGCCTCGGCCTTCCTGCCGCTGTGAGTGGCGCTGCTACCTACGGGGCGTGCAAATATTTTCAAGTCTCTTTTTTTAAAAGAAAGAATATTATGAGTTCCCTTGAATTTCCTAAAACTCCTAAGACACATGTAACCAGGGACCACAGGTGATCGAAATCTTAGATTTGTTCTTTGGCTCTGAAAGTGCCTCGATCGTTAATTAATAAATTAATATATTTAGATTTTTATCGGACACTTTGTCTTCGGGGCTGAAGATTCATTTGGAAGTAACAAGAGGGGGAAAAAACACGAACGAAGAACCGCAGTAAGATAGGCACCGCCCTTGCTTCTCACCTGGGGCAGTCCCCGAGGGGCAGCCCAGGGATCCCGCCGCCGCTGTCCACGTTCCCGGCGTGGGAGTCTGACCTCCGCTGTTCCTGCCCCGCCAGGGCCCTTTCTCCTCAGGGTCTTGTTATGGGTCAAGGTGGCTGCTTCATTGTTGACGTTCCCATTCCACCCATCAGAACGGAGGAAGAGAAGCAGAAAGAGTGTGTCCCCCCTTCGCAGACACTTTCCATTTCCGTTCCGCTGGCCAGAAGGCAGTCAGCTGTGCGTGGAAATGGTGCTCTCGGGCATCAGTGAGGACTAAAGGTGCTCAGTGCTGCAGCCACCTACAGAAATTACTTCCGTTCTAAATAAGTGTAGCAGTTGTTTTCAAAGAATTAGGAACTTACTCTGTAGTGAAGTTCCTGTTGCTCCTGGCAAGGTGCTGGTGGATCCTTCAGGTGCTGCCTAGAAGGTCTTCGTTACCTTCCCGCCTACCCCCCAGCTCCTGCTCAGCTCACAGAGAGGACCCACATGATGCTCCCCGTTCTCGTTACAAACCCGGTGTCTCCCCGTGGGTACTCTCTGCCGTTCCCAGATCGCCCATCCCCCTACTAAAGCCTTCCCCTTTCAGGGTTTAGCTCCTGTGTCACCTCCTCCAGGAAGCTTAATCTTGCCTTTCCTTAAGCTCCCCAGGCAGGGCACCTCACCTCTGCCTCTTCCATTCACTCCCTCCCTTGCTCTGCATTCCCGTACGAACATGCTGTGCCTCCCTTAGTAGACCGTGGGCCCCTTCCGCAGCCCCTTCCCTCATCAGGTCTACAGCGCCCAGCCTGGGGTCTCACAAGGCAAAACCCTCCCACGTTTACGGGATGTTATTGGCCCTCCCCAGGTGTTGGTATCACACCCGCCAGGGTGCCTTTTGGAAAGGTCTATTTACTTCTGTTTATTTAAAAAAAAAGAGTCGATGCAATTTATCTCTCTTTTTTAAAAAGATTATTTACTTTTGGAGAGGAGGGGAGGAGGGAGGGAGAAAGAGAGGAAGAGAAACAAACATGGATGTCTGATCGGTAGCCTCTCACACTCCCCTACTGGGGACCTGGCCCGCAACCCAGGCATGTTGCCCCGACTGGGAATCAAACTGGCAACCTTTGGGTTCACAGGTCAGCACTCAGTCCACTGAGCCACAGCAGCCAGGGGAATGCAGTTTCTCTGGAAGTAACTTCGAATCCACATTACAAAATTCCATATGTAGTTGGATTTCGCAGTGCAAATTCAGCGTCATAGCTTTCTTCGCAAGGAGAATTTCTCCTGCCTGTACAGGCCTGGTCCCCTTGTAGTCTGATTAGGTTCCATATTTCACTTTAAAGAGGAAGAGATGGTGCTTTGTCTGCGGCTGGGACAGGCCCAGCGTTAAGTATGGTCTTTGGGCCCTGTTACCTCCTCCCCCTTGGAAAGTGCCATAAGCAGAGCCAAGCCCATTTTGTTCACGTTTTTATTTCAGTCGAGAGCATTTAGATGGTATCACCATTTATTTTAAAAGTGAAAGTGGATGTGTGTGTCTTTCAGTGTGGGCCTGCCTCTCCTCTTTCTTTTCTGACTCCGGAATGTCCCTGTTTCGTGTAGACAGAGACCAACCTGCAGCTGTGGGGCCGGCCCCTCGGAGGGGCGCGGCAGCAGCCCTGGGTGCCCTCAGAAACGTTCTGAGCGGTGAGCCCTTTGGGGAGAGGGATGCTCCTCCAGACAGCTTTGCCAGGGGCTTGCTTCTCTACGCCTTCCTCACTCATAAACTTCCAGGCGGACAGAAATGTCTTCCAGGTGGTTTTGGCACTTGCACCTTCAGGGAGAGTCCCAGTGCGCGCCCCGAAGCACCGTGCCCCCCTCCCCCAGATTCCATCATGAAGAGCTGTGTCCTGCAAACCTTGAGGATGTGTGTCTGGGGCCGGGGAAGGCACAGCCGAGTCAGTCACGTCCACTCTTCAACTGTCCCACGGTCCCCGAGCGCGTGAGTCACAGCCCGCTGCTGGAGTCCGTCTAGGGCACTAACTAACAGGCCACCCAGGGCTCTCATCACTCCCTTTCCCTTAGGCCACTCTTCACATCTGCATGTGAAGACCCCGTGCACGGAGAATCTTTTTAGGTAGAAGAGGTCGTGGTTTCAGCTGATGCTACTACCCTGGAGTGTTTTTATTTTATTTTTTAATCAGTCACTATGGGTTGGGAAGTGAAGGCCGTTTGTGTGTGTGTGTGCGTGTGCGCGTGTGTGTTTCATGTTCTCTTTCTTTATGATTCGTCAATGCATTAAACACACTCTGATGCTCAAGAAGCTGCCTGGCCTTGGTGGTTATTTGGGGGGAAAAAACCCAACGGCACATCATCTTTCATCTCTTTTAATTTCAGTTTTACCCTAAAAATCTGTTTGGAGAAGGAAATGGAGCGTGCCAAGCTAATGACAGCCTTCCCGTCTCTTATTTTCTTCCCACGTCCCAGCACTGCGCACCCCTGTCCGGCCCCCCCCGCCCCCCAGTGTGCAGAGAGGTCGGCAACGCTGCGTTCATTAAGTCGAACCACCTCCGAAGCATCAGAAAAAATGAAAACATGTAAATACCCCCCCCCCCCCGGCATCAAGTGGGAGGGGTTAAGATGATTAAGATGAAACCCGGCTGTGTCAGCCAACAGACTCATTTACTTTCAAAGGTGTCCCCTCTGGGACTACAGGCAGCGCACCTTCCGGGGAGACTGAGCAGTGCGTCCCGCCGGGAAAAGCGCTGGGCTAGTCAGAGCGCTTGGGACTCACCCGGGGCCGGCCCGGGAGGGTGGGCAGTGCGGGACCCAGTTTCCACTCTCGGGGAGAGGAAGCCGGAGACCCACGGTCAGCTCCGAAGGCCACTGATGGTCCTGTCCCAGCACTTCCCAAGCACCTCCGAATTCCCACCGCGCGCCGTCTTAATTTGGTTACAGAATTCTCCTCCCCCCCCCGCAGCACCTCCCCTGAAGCAGAGGGTGTCACGGCCGCGGCGGCTGGCAGAGTGTCTCTGCAGGGAGGGTCCGCGGGGCGTAGGGTCTGACACCCCGACACCCGCGTCTGCAACGCGAGAAGGGCGCAGCGGCGGCGGCAGCGGCAGCAGGACTCCCAGCCGAGGAGGCTGCGGCGGAGGCCCCCGCGAGGTTGCCGCCCCGGCCCCGCGGGTTCCCCCCTCTCCCGCGGGTGAATGAATGATTAGTCCAGCAGCGTCTCCCCGCCCCGGTTCGTCCGAGGTTGAAAGGGAGGAGACTTGGAGAGACTGTTTCTCTTTTCTTCAGGGCGAAAAGCGTTCGCCTCCGTGCGTTTATTAACCGACCTCGCGTGTCGTTTCTCTTCTGTCCTCCGCAGTGTCAGAACTCGCGGACACAGGGCCGCAGGGCGCTGGTCCGGGCCCCTCGGTCCGCTCCAGCCGCGAGTCCGCGGTCCTATCCCCCCGCTCCAGGGAAGCGAAGCTGAGTGAAAAGTTGCGCCCGCCACACCCCACCCTCCGCCCAATTTGTCGCTCCTTCCCAAAGCTGGGGACCAGGGAGCTAGCAGGGGTGGTGAGGCACGCCTGAGCCCCGCTTGATGCTCCCTTATTGGCATGGGGGCGCCGGGGCACGAGCAGGGGTGGTGCGGCGTCCGCGGTTAGGGGAGGGTCCCCGGGAAGGAGGAGGCGGCTCCGAAAGCGTGGGCCGGTGGTGACACGCCTGCCCCGCTCAGATCTAAGTCCCGGGGACGGCGGCCTCCCTCGAGGCGCTGGGGGGCGGTCTGGACATCCCGCTGAGACGAGTCCAGGGCGCGGGGCTCCTGCGCCGCGGCGCCCCCAGCGGGTTCCCGGAGGCGCCCGGGGCACCCCTGTGCCGGGCGCGGGAGCGAGCGCGCGCGCCGGCCGGGCGGAGAGCTGGAGGCCGGCGGAAGGTGGGGAGAGCTGGGGAGCAGGACGCGCGCGGCCGCGGCGCCCGGGTCTGTGGCTGCGGCCGGGCGGCGGCGGAGCCGCGGTGCGGTGCGCAGCGGGCGGCGCTGCCAGTCCTGTCTGCCTATCTCCCGCGGCTCCGACACCCCCTCCTCCCGGCCCCGCATCTGGCGTGGAGGGGCCGACGGCCAAGCCTTGGGAGCAACTCCCTCAAAAAAGCCGCATTGGAGGAGCCTGGCCGCAGGACCCCTCCTCCCGGGCGCCCCCCACCCCTCGCCTCCCGCTCCCGCCTCCCCCGCCCGCCCCCCTTACTCCCGGGCGCCCGCCTCCCTCCTTCGCGGACTGTCTCCTGACTCGCCGGCTGAGAGCCCTTTTTGATTGCGAGCGGCCGTAGTGGAGCAGAGGCGGCGGCGCGGGACCTGCAGTCGCCCGGGATTCCCTCCAGGTGACGATGCTCTGGTTCTCCGGCGTCAGGGCTCTGGCTGAGCGTCCCTGCCGGCGCTCGCCTGGGATTACCTGCTGCGTCTTGCTGCTGCTCAATTGCTCGGGGGTCCCCATGTCTCTGGCTTCCTCCTTCTTGACAGGTAGGGGAGGGGACGGGAGGGACCGGCCCTCCCGGACGCTGGCTTGATACCTGGGAGAGGAGGCGCCGGCTCGCCCCGGGGAAGGGAGGGTGCGGAGCGAGCACCTAGGCGCCGGCCCCTCTCTGGCTGGTGGGGGCGAAGCGGAGCCGGTGGGGTTCAGGGGAGGGAGGCAGTGAGGAGGCTAAGGGGTGGAGGGCTGAGTGGATGTTGACGTCAAATATATAGAAACGGTCCTAGCTGATTTTTTAAAAACCCCTTTATTTATTTTAAGTGTTTTCCTCAATCCTTATTTTGGTTTCTTCTCCCCCTATGCAATTAAGGAAACATTTGCACCGTTTTCCACACATCCTGCGTTCTGACTTCATAAGGTTCCCTTATATTCTCCGTGTGAAGAGCGCGTTTGAAAGCCCCGGCTCTTCAGACCTTGAATTTGAAGGAGCTATCATATTTTAAAGGGGTAATAATAGCAGGATATAGTAATTATATGTTTTCAGGCAGGTGAAGACCTCAGCTACTATTCCGAAGGACATACTTTACTGACACCTGGTGCAGAAAAGAAAATATTGAGTCAATTTGTAGGAGAAGAGGAAGGAAGATTGTATTTCAAAAAGCGATTTCAAATCAAGACAGTAAGAGGCACATTCATATAAAGGCCTGTTCATTAACATAGTCCCGAGTTTTGTTCAAATTTAAAATCTGCCCTAATGGCCAATTTGAACTTTTTTTTTTTTTGCATGTGTGTGTGCCAAAAGGCCTTCCTAAAGGAGTATTATTAGAGATCTAATGAAATACTTGGAATTGTGCTTAAACCATATGAGAACAACGACAAAAAATTTATGGGTCATCAAAAAATAAACACAACCCGTTTAAATATAACTATTTAGAATAGATTTGCAGGGGTTGAGGGTGGAATTTTTTTTTTTTTTTTTGGTGAGTGTGATCATTTAAAACTCATTAGGAATTTCTGAAATTTGGGTAGTTGTGTCAAAAAGGATTGCTGTAAAAACTTCAAATTTTGTAATAATGCCAATAAGCTAAGTTTAAATTATTATTTTTTCCTTCATTCCAGGTTCTGTTGCAAAATGTGAAAATGAAGGCGAGGTCCTGCAGATTCCGTTCATCACGGACAACCCCTGCATAATGTGCGTCTGCCTGGTAAGTAGGGGGCCCGGCCCGGGGAAGCCAATGGCTCCCTCGGACCGGGCGAAGGCATTACATGCAATAACAGGACCAGATCTCAAACGCTGCGTTCAGCCGTCACAAAATAGCTGATGAATTGAACTCAGTCGAACTTCCGAGTTTTATGGACTTTGGCGATTTCCCATTTCATCAGGGTGGGGGGGACTCTTATCACTGACAGTCATCTTTACAGAGATACATTCAGGGCGGACTCTGTGTGGCATTGTCTCCGTGGTAATTGCCATTTGTACTGCCTGTTCCCAGGAGTGGCTGTCACCGTCAAATCCTAGGCGCCACCAGACTCTTTCTGCCTTGGTTCTGTCCCCGGAGCTCAGTGTGAACACGGGAGATAACATTTAGGGATCTCCCCAGTGATATGGTGTGACCAGGGAAAACAGGAGTGGCAGTTACAAAGGACAAGCAGGGGGACAAGATGTAATCTGGGATTTCTTTGCCTGTTTTGGCCTACACTCTCCACGACAGCCTTTATTGCATTTCTGATTTGGAAGCATGAGTCAGGAAGGACAGTCAATCCCTAATAGACAGTAACGCTGGGCTGTCAGCTGCTCAGTTAACCCTGGCAGTGGCAGTAGATTAAAAAAAAACAAACAGAACAAGAAGAATTTCTTTTAATGTACTTTAGCTTCATGGTTAATGATAAGAACTAGTAAGTAACGGCATGGTGGTGATTAAATGATATGCATAAAAATTTCTGAGATGAAACAATAGATTAAAAAAAAACAACGCTTTTGTTAAGAGAGATTTTTTTTTTTTATGTGCCAATCACTTTTGGCAAACTCTTGGTTAAAGGCTACACACCGCCAAACCCTCCCTGCTGGAAACGCATTAAGGGCCTGGGATGTAAAGCTTCAATGAAGTAGATGAGTGTTTGTTATCAGATCAGCGTTGTGTGTAGAACCGGGGAAGGGGTTCTTCTCTGCGCAGGGGAAGCCAAGCCATCTGGGCTTAAACTACCCAGGCTTTCTCCTGACACGAGATGAGGTCAGTGTTGCGGATGATGAATGGGTGAAGGTGAAGGCCTCGATCAAATGATTATCAGGTTCCGAGGACTAAGGGAATCAACAGAATCAGAAGTGAAAATGTCTTACATGTGCCGGGGAGATAGATATCGATGCCTTCATGGAAGAAAGCTAAGAGAGACAGGCTTTTCAGATTTTTGTGTTTATGAGTTTTCATTAAGGACCTGTTGAAAAGAAGCTTCAAGTTGAAATTCTGGCAAAGTCATGTATTTCCCAGCACAGTGGGTGCACTGGGGGTGCCCACAGGGGGTGGAGATAATCGTTGGTTTCAATTTCTCTTATCTTTATATTGTGAGTGAATTATCTTAGTCTTAAGAGGAAATCACCCTGCCCTTTAAATGTGCTCGGAGCTCCAAGCACCCGGGAAAATACTGTTTGCGTCCTCGGCGATACTACGACGCATCAGGTTGAAATGTGCAGCTTGGGTGTTGCACACTGTTCCCAAAGAGCACGGTGAAGAATTCCCCACACAGCATTCTCCTTTCAGTGCCACACCCCGGTGGGAAAGCGTTCTTTCCTCTCGAGGTGGAGCCTTGCTGATAGTAAGACCGAGGTTAGAAGCCTGGGCTGGGAGGGCAAAGAGCGACTCGGAAGAGGAAAAAAAATGCATCTGTTGGAAGTCAAGTGAAAATATTATTTGTTTCAGACCTGCGCTGATTAAATTTAGATGGCTGGCAGGTTCCCTGGCGTCTTTAACATTTAGAGGTATCTGTCTGGAGTGAGCGCCGTGGGGGATTCTTTCTCAACGTGTTAAGTCGAGACTCGAGCGACCCGGCTGAAGTCACTCAGGGCTCTCACCCGAGCCCAGAGGCCCAGTGACGTGTTCTGTGACCTGTGCGTGGGTTTAGCATCACGAGGCCCACGTCGTTACAGGCATCCTTGCTTCCCAAGCATTTGTACTGACTCGCTGCAACCGAGTGGGAATAGATGGATGACCAAACCTGTCTGCATGTGCGCCTGCGAGTTTCTGCAGGACCCACTGCGGCTGTGCATTTCTTAGCAGCTCCGAAGGCCGTGAGGCCGCGTGCATTTTTACACTTAGGTTGGAAGACAGGTCTGCTTAACGGATTGATGATGTTCGCCATAGAGACTCGTAGTTACGATCGCCTTTAATTGTGGCGCTTATCCAGATCTGCATGCTTTCGTTTGATCCTCAGAAAAAGTCTTCTGAGAGCTGTTACCCACATTTTACAGATCAGGAAACTGAGGCCAGAGGAGCTGAGTAGCTTGCAAAGGCACATGGTAGGAAATATTGGAGCTGGGACTCATCGGCTTCGTCTGCCTCCGGAGCCCTTGCCTGTAACCGAGTGAGAGAGGCTATTTGCTGTGCGACCATGTGAAAAAGCAAGAAGAAAACCGGAAGGTTGTCGGCCTACTGTACTATTTGGCATTGCTTTGAGTTATTTTTATTTTTTTTCTTTTGAGTCTTGTAGGAGTTCGCTCGGCTAACATTTGCTAATCACATTATATGAAAGGAAAAATCTCGTTATGATTTCGGTGGACCTGCGGGGAGCGTTGGTTGTGAGCTAGTTTTATGCGTGTCCATTAAGAGGGTACGTAACAGTCAGGACTGTACTTCGGGTAAAGCAAACAGTCATATTTAGTTTGTGTTGGTCCAGCCTTTTGGCAGAAAGGTACGTAAGGCTGAGCATAAGCTCATATCTGATTTCATAACATGTATTAAAGAAAAAGCTAACCTCAACGCACGCCTAAAAAAGACGTGAAACGTTACAATGGGGAGGAAGTGGGCGGCGGGAGGTTCTGCGGCGTGTAATTACGGTGCAAACACTCCCAAGCCCCACGGCTTGGCCCGGTGTACACTGGTGAGCCCCGAAAGGGCTGGGAGGCGGAGTGAGCTCATTTCTGTGGGAACTCTGAGGACGACAGCAGCAGCCGGGGCCACCGCAGGCAGAACCGAACCCTCTTCCTCCCGTCTGTCCTCGCCTGCGTCAGCCCGAGCCTCTTGCCAGGCCTGGTCGCTATCCAAGAATAACCTGTTTGTTAGCGGGGGATGGCTGTCGTGTTAAAGCGTGCGGGACAAAACGCTCGGTTCCTCTGTTCGAGGGGGAAGGCGAGAAGGTGGGCCGCCGGCCTGAAGCCCGGGGAGTCAGCGTGGGCAGCTTGGGTTCAAGATGCAGAGGGTTCCGTTCTTCAGTTCCGAAGCGAAGCGTGTCTTTTCCCCGCCCGACAACATGGTCTTTGAAGGGACCAAGGAAGGACGGCCCAGACTTAATGCTGTTTTGTGTGATTTTTTTTTACCCCTTCTTGCTAGAATTATTTTTCCCAGAATGCCTAGGAAAACATGCTGGTGCTCTCTCTAAGGTGGAGATGACAGGAGCCAGCCACGTCCAGACACAGCATCTGAAGCAATTGTTTGGACCTTTGGGGTATCCCCAGGGCCACCAGGCAGGCCCAAGAGGGTTCCCCTGACTTGTTGCCCCTCTCCCCCGACGGAAGCAGAGCAGGAGATGTCAGAGCCGGTGTGTTCGGCCCAGGGCTGGAAGCTGGAGAAGACTTTGGAGGCTGGGAGTTTGAAAACCAGAAGTCAGTCGGAGCTTAGTTTGGCAGACATTTTGTTCAGCAAAAAAACATTATTCCGAAGTTTAAATTTCCTCTTTGAAATCCAGAGGTGCAATGTAGAAATGGACCCTCTGCTCGTAAAAAGCAACATGAAATTTGGTGTTACAAAAAGCGGGCCTCCCCCTGTCCTGGAGCCGAGCAAGCGTTGAAAACAGAGGAGACTTTGTCTGCTGTCTTCTACTTCTTAATCACAGAAGTCTTCCATCACGAAACAAGTAGCTACCAGCGTCTTCGATTCTCTTGGGTGCCTTATCTCTATAAAATCCTCATGTGTTTTATTGTTCAAATTAACTGGCTAGAGAATAGGTATCTATTATCTGAACAAGTGTTAGGCACATGTTTGGGAATGAGAGATAACATTGCATCAGGATTCAGTTTGTGTGTGTGTGTGCGTATGTGTGTGTGTGTGTGTGAGAGAGAGAGGGAGAGGGAGGGAAAGGCATTGGGGTGCAGATAGGGGGAGAGAGAGAGAAAGAAGAGATATAAAGGAATCCAGATGTGTTCAGAAAGACGCTTCACTTACTGCATGCACATATAAACAGATGCCATAACTTCTTGAAAATTGCTTTGTATCATTTTCAGGCTTTGGATTCTTACTAAAGAAATGATCAGGATTTCTTAGCTCCATTCATTCACTCATTCACTCATTCATTCATTCATTCATTCATTCTCCATTCTCTGTATAGAAGGTGTTCAACCAATTGCCTACCCGTAGAGTGAGGACTTGAATAGAACAGGTTTAGGGGACAGGGGAGGTAGCGAACTCACGGCGCTGTGCCGGCCCCTTGGCCAACAGGGGCGTTGAGGCAGTCAGTTCCGCCCCTGTGTTCCTGGGGCTCCCAGAGCAGAGCGCGTGTCCCGAGAGTCCACGGTCCCTGAGAGACAGGCTGGGACAGGAAGCCCGCGCCTTCCCCGCTAAACCAGCCTGCTTCTGCTCCTCGTCTAAAGACGTCTAAAAATACCCCCAGGGCCTTCAGGGAGTCATTTCGGCGTCCCCACAGCTGACATGGGCACTGCTCGGGGGCAGCTGCCGTGACTTCGGTCTTGTGACACACGTCAGGTCTGGAATTTGGAAGGTCCTCTCAAAGGAAGACACACAGTTCAGGTGGCTTTTGGTGGGCATCCTATCCATTTGGGGAGGGGCTTTGGGTCTCGTAGCAGACAGGCCTAGCTGCCAGTTCGGGCTCTGTCACTGACTGGCGGTAAATTCGGGAAAGTCACCTCACCTTTCTAAGCCTCAGTTTCCTCTTCGGGACGGCGAGCCCACGGGCTGCTGGGAGAGTTACAGGAGGTAGAGCACAGAAGGCTCAGCGTCCGGCGCTCTCTGGAGTGGTTCATTATCCACAAGAGTGGTTC